CTCGGACAGACCCTCGAAGCACCCCGTCAGGGATCGCGCCGAGGGGGCCCGTGTCCGCCCCCTTCAGCAAAGCTGCCCGTGGACTCTCCCGCCTGCGGGGCTTCCGGGCTTCTGTGTGGAGGCCGGCCTGCACAGTCGTGCCCCCCGGGAGAGCCGTGCGCCACACGCTCAGGCCCACCTCCCCGCTCCCGCCCCGGACGCGGGGCAGCACGGGCCTTCGGAGCCGCAGTCCTGCCCGCAAGCTCCGCGCCGCGGCCTGGGCCGCTGGCCTTCCCGCCGAGCTCGGCTTCCGCGTGTGCGGAACGGAGGCCGAGCTGCTGGTGCAGGGCTGTGGTCGCGGCCACGCAGAACGCGGATGGGGGCGCCGCCCGGTGCGCGCTGTGGGGCGTCGGGGGAGCCGGCCTCGGGGCCCCGCGGCGCCGGCGCTGCCCGCGGCGGAGGCCGGTCGCGTGGCGCGGGCCTCGAGGGCCAGGGCCGGCCTGCCCCGGGCTGGGGCCTTTCGGTGGGGACGCTGGCCCGCGTGGGGGAGCGGAGCGCGCTCGCGCCCCCCCAGCCTCCTGCCACAGGCGCAGTCCCGGGCCACCAGGGCAGAAGGGAGCCGGCTGCCGGTGCGGCTTTCGCATTCCCAGGGTGGGGTGCCCTTGTCCCTCGCGGGGTCTCCCGTTCCTGTGGGCGAAGCAGCGCTCTTCAGCAGACTTCTTCAGTGCCCATCCTACTTCTAGGTCATTGCCCAACTAGAATATGCCCACGCGCTCCCCGTGGGGTCAAGACTGTATCTAGTTGATGCAGGGCCCGTTTTCAGTGACTCAGTGCAGAGCCTGGCGTGCAGTATGGGCTTCATCAACACTGGATGGGCGAGAGGATGAATGATTTCATCTCTAGGATTTGGAACGCTCGCATGCCTAGTTGAAAGACTGATAACGAATCTCCCAGTGAGCCAGATTGTTAGGCCAGTGGTTCTAAACTGGCTGTTCGAATCACCAGAAAGGGATTTTGCTTTGTTTGTAGCACTGGTTTCTGGACCCTACCCAGGTCATTGTTCTCAAAGCTCCCCAAGTGATCCTACTAGACAGCCAGAGTTGGAATCCACGTGTTAGACCATTCCAAAAGTATGTACCATGTGTATAACTCTTACGTGCTCATGGACCACATTGTACTGGGACTGTCAGTTTGTGTGTTGTTCCCTCACTGGACTTTGCCTTCTTGAACTTCCCTGCCTGGCACAGTACTTGGCATCTCATGGACGGTCCTCAGTGGTAGTGGAATGAATTGGTAGTTTCTTTCAGTTAAGACACAAGAACATTGCGTAGTACCACGTAAGACAAAGAGAGAAGCACTAGCACCTTGAGATTTGTTTCGAGGTCAGTTTGTGTGTGTGTGTGTTTTCTAACCATCTACTCTTTGTTACCTGCTTGCTTGTCCATATGGACGACTTTTTCCTGTTCTTTCACTGTCATCTATCCAGATGCTGTGAGCTAACAGCAGCTGAGACATTGGGCTTCGTCAGGGAATCCCAATTTAAAGTATCTTGTCTCATTCTTCCCACCTGTCCCTAGGTTCTAAAAATTATCATCACTGTCTGTGTAGGAGGATCATTCGTTGATGTGACTTCCAGACCACTCTTCTCCATTAGGAATGCCCTAGAAGCCTCAAAACTCCCTTTTTTCTCAGCTCATTTGTTCCTTATCATAAACTTATTTGGACATAGAAAAATATAGCTAGAAAGACATTTAGAGACATTGCATTCCACCACTCTCATTCTATGGCGAAGAAGCCAGATGGGTGTGGGACTTGCCTTGGATCACACAGTTTGTGAGGGACACAGCGGAGACAGACCACATTTGGTCCTCAGGCGTGGACTACCACACAGTACTCACAGCGTTTCAGACCACGTCCGAAACCAGAGATCAGACTTTAACTTCCACTCTGGCGTCTGTGTTGGGAAGAAAAATATCTGAGAAAAAGATACTCTGGTTTCTTAGAGGGTTTGGGCAGGAGGACTCCTGGGGGAAGGGGAGTGGGTGGGAAAAGGAATCCTTGAAAGAGAACTGTGTCAGAAGAAAATGCGTTTTTGGAAGCACCGCAGTTCACTGTGTGTCTGCTCTTTTTTCCAGAATGTTCCCCAGAGAATACCTCCTCCAACAGATCCACCTCTACTCCCTTGCCGACTTGCAGCAGGTAAATGCTCAGAGGGGCCATGGCATTTTGTTTTCTCCCTGGGGATGTGTCTTTGTTGATTATGGTTTGGGCACTGGATTCTGCTCTCACTGGGTTTGTTTCCAGCACAAGTCCTGCTACTCAGTTGATTTGTATTCGGAATGAGGGGAACAAAGTCAGTGTCAAAAGACGTTATTTGTCGGCAAAGGTGTGGGAAGCTGGGGCTTTTGGATGCCTCTGGTGGGGTTGTGAAGTCGTGTGGCCGCTTTGGAGACCGTCTGGCTGGCTCCTCAAGAAGTTAACCTGCAGTTCCCATATGACTCAGCAGTTCCACGACAGGTATGTACCTGGGAGAACTGAAAGCATGCATCCACATGAAATGTCCATAAGTGTCAGCGCATAAGCAACCCACATGTTCATCAGCAAATGGATGGATAAGCACAATGTTGTATGTTCACCACAGAAGGAGTATTATTTGGCCATAAAAAGGAGTGAAGTACTGAGGCATGCTACAATGCAAATGAACTCTGCAAACATCATGCTAGGTAAGAGAAGCCAGGTAGAAAGAAACACACGTTGTAGGATTCTGTGTAACGAAGTGTCAGGATTGGCGGATTCATAGAGATGTAAAGCAGATTGGCTCTCAGGGCCTGGGGAGGTTGGAAGCATGAGGAACTACCGCCGGTGGATCTGGGGTTTCATTTGTGGCTGATGTAAGCGCTCCGGAATGAGAGCAGTGGTTGCACAACCTTGTGAATACACTGAAAGGCGAGGACTTCATGGTGTGCGAACTCTGTCCATCTAAAAAATGGTGTGAAGGAAAAAGACGTAAAAGACAGTGAATGTCTTGAGCCCTTTGACTCATGCTCAGGCCACACAGTTGGGTGACTTTAAGGTTTAATCAAGCGTTACAGAGCATATAAGAATCGACACCATCTTTATACTTGTGTTAGCACATGAACTTTTACTGATTGACCAGGTTAGCAGCCAGGAAGAAACTGACCCTTGTGTATTCAGCCCTAAGTTCTGAATATGTTAAGGTTTGGCTCGTCGTCCAGATCAACAGCTTGCTCCCTAGGAAGCTGTTAGGCACTAAATGATTCTTTCAAGAGTCGATTAAACACAAATTGTGACCGCTCAGAGCATCACAGGCTGCTGCAATGCTGCTCTCTTGTTTCCTCTCTGGCTGTTAGGCCAACTTAAAAACTGTGTTCGTATCCTTCTGTCACTCTTTTGGGACTTTAAATTACTTTTCAGGGATTTTTTTGTATCTTTTTTTAATTTAAAAACTTAAGACTGCACTGGGGGGGAGAGGACACAATGTCACTAAGGGTACCTGATCTTAAGCCAGGTAAAGCGGGACCAAAGGGGGCCCAAACTTTCCCTATACAATGTTCACTTGTATACTTAATCCTGAATTATACCCCACATCTTAAAAAAAAAAAAAACTTAAGATTTTTGTGTTCTATTTGACCCCCACCCCAAAGGTAGGACAGTTATTTGCTTTTTTTTTTTTTTTTTATTATAAAGATGTGGGGTACAATTCAGGGTTAGGTATACAAATGTTAATTATGCGGGTACCCTTGTTGATGAGGTATGCCCCTCCCTACCTTAGCAGTTTCCCTCAACTGCCACTCCCACCCCCACCCCCCACCCCCTCCCCAGGCAGTTTCCCACTACTACCAATCCCTTTCTTACAGTATCATGATAATTGTTCAAGATCCGCTTATGAGTGAGAACATATGGTACTCTGTTCTTTGTTTCTGTGATAGATCACTGAGTATGATAGACTCTAAATCCATCCAAGTTGCTGCACAGTCCATATGTTTGTCCTCCTTTATGACTGCGTAATATTCCATTGTGTATATGTGGACAGTTATTTTAAATGTCAGAAATAATTTTAGAGTTTTTAGTCGGCAAGATCTGAGAGAAGACTAGGGTTTTAGTTTCCACTTGTGTGTCAAGTTTAAACCTATTTGCATATATCAGCTCCCTGCAACTCTCTCAGTCCTGCCTGACCTTCCAACCCTGACCGTTCACTGCATACTTAAACAGCAGTGATCTACTGGCTGAGGTGGAAGGAGGGGTGGGGAGTGGGAAACACACACACATATATATACACACACACACGCACATATATATATTATTGCTTTTTAGTCTAGTCTCACTCTGTCACCTAGGCTGGAGTACAGTGGCACAATCATGGCTCACCACAGTCTTGAACTTCTGGGCTCAAGCAGTCTTCCCTTTTCAGCCTCCCGAATAGCTGGTACTGCAGATTCACATTACCATGCCCAGCTAATTTTTTATTTTTTTGTAGAGACGAGATCTTGCTAAGCTGCCCAGGCTGTTCTCAAATTCCTGGGCTTAAGCAATTCTCCCACCTCAGTCTCCCAAAGTGCTGGGATTATAGGTATGAGCCACTGCACCCGGCTGTATTTTTAGTTACAGTTGTGTTCAAGGGGAAGAATGTATTAAAACCCTTGTTATTCGTTTATCTATCTTCTAGGAGTTTATCTGATCCTAGTATCTGGGAACACAGACTATCACTTGAGAAGCATATTTAAAGGCACTGAACATTCTTGTAAAGGTGGCTTAAAATAGAATGGGTGGGCTCCAGAGTGCTTTGAGGTAGCCTTTCAAAATGAGTTTTGATATCAAATGAAGAGCATGAAGCAGAGTAATTCCATATTCACGTTAAGGTGTCAAAGTATATCCATTTGGTATCTTAAAGCCTGCTTTGTAAAGCTTCCCTATACCCTGCTGTCTTTTTTCCCCCTTTTCACTTTCCCTTCTGTAATAATCAAACCATACATGCCAAGCAGCTTACTTAAGTCAGAGACAGTGATGTTCTTGGTGGTCAGGCCATTAGCCCCTGGAGCCCTGTAAGCAACGTAATTAGTTTTCAGCTGGTAGTTAAGTGATCAAGGCAGGCAGCAGCTTATCAAACTCCCTGTGGGCTGGACCTGTGGAGCACAACACGTCCATCTACTTAGCAGCTCAGGCTCACCTGGTTCTTTGCATCTGGAGTTAAGAGCCCAAACCTATCATATTTAGTGGAAGTTTAATTCAATTACTTTTTCTGCCGGAGGTAGGACATATTAGGTCTAGCTTTTGATCTGTCTGTGTCTTGATTATCAGCCCTGAAGTGCACCCCCGCCCCCATCTTCCCTTGGTTTCGGAGTGAATGACAAGCATGTTTCCTCGATCTGCATTGTTCTTGCAAATATGTAAGGGAAGGGGCACATAGAGAAAGGAAAAAAATACTACTGTCTTGTGGAAGAGTGAGCGGCAGTAGCAGGAAACCCTACCTGACTAACCCAGCCGTAAGCCCACATGTCCCGCGCCGTCTTGGCCTCTCCTGGCGGCTTCGCTGTCCTGTTTTGTGTCAGTTTACAGAGATCTAGAGTAAATTACTTTCTCCTGTTTGATTGCTCCCCTGACAGCTAAAGGTCTCTATAAAAGCAAATTTTTCAATCATGCAAATCAACTTTGAAAAGGGGGCTTTTGTTGTATAGAATTTGCCGGGGAAAGGAAGATAAGCTAAAGTCAGTGATTGAAGAGTTATGGATCCTAAATAATAATAATAATAATAATAATAATAATAATAATACAAATATTCTTAAATGCATAGGTTTCTTTCTACAAATTTCTCATAAGTGAATTTGATTTATCCCATTAGCTTTTATTTTAAAAAAAAGACATTTTCTTCCCCAAAAAGGAAAAAACAAGTAAGAATTTAATAAACTTGGTGAAATTTAGAATTTAGAATTATAAATTTTGAAATAATATAGTGTATGATGTACTAATACTACTTAAAGATGCTGAAAGAGCTCTGGTATCAAAAAATCTGTATCTGTCTCTGATTTTATAAGAAACATCTCTGGTTTTATAAAAAACAATCCCAGCCGGGCGTGGTGGCTCACACCTGTAATTCCAGTACTTTGGGAGGCGGAGGCAAGAGTATTACCTGAGCCCAAGGGTTTGAGATCAGCCTGGACAACTTGTCAAGACCTCACCTCTACAATAAATCAAAAAATTAGTTGGGTGTGGTGGTGCGTACTTGTGGGTTCCAGCTGCTTGGGAGGCTGAGGCAGAAGGATAGTCTGAGCCCAGCGGGTCAAAGCTGCAGTGGCTGTGAGTGTGCCGAGTGAGACTCGGACTCAAAAAAAAAAAATTCCTAAAATACTAGCAGATAGACTCACTTCAACAGCGTGGCTGAACATTTCAGGCAACCTTAGCGCTACTGTTTTTACATTCAAGGCGGCCCCCTCCCCCATTGTGTGAAGGTGCTGTCCCCTCTGCACGCATCCTTTCTTCCTGTCACACTCTTGGATGCGAGGCAAAAATGACAACAGATGATTGCTTTGCCAAGGAGAGTCCCTTCATTGCTGTGGGAGCCGTTGCCAACTGTCCACTGGTCACCGAGTGCCAGTTATTGGCAAAATTTGCCCCGTGGTTTATTTTCAGCGGGTATTGTCAGCAGAAGAGGTAGTAGTTGAATGACACAGTCGTTATTTGGCTGATCAGCGGGCAGCATTTAGTCATCACATAAGGTAGAGTCGGCACTCCCGGCCTCCGAGCAGGGCCCGGGAAGGGGCATAAGACGGGGCAGACGCTCTCCAAATCCCAAGGGCTCTGGGGCGTACCCCCTTGATTTGCTTATTTCTTACACTTGAAATTCTGGGTGCACTTCTGTTCAGCACAGTAGATATTGTTAGAAAACATATTGAATCCATGCTCTTTGAGTGTGAATCTTACAGGGTATACTGTTAATTATTCTTAAAATAAGATTTTGCGAACACACTTTTAGGAGGTGTGGCTGCACAGTGGTTTCTTGGGCTGTCAGGGCAGTTACTTGTAAAGGATTTAGGCGGTGACTGGGCATACGGACTAGTGGGCAAGTGGACCAGTATTGGTGTGTATTTTGAATGGGGAAACTAAGCGTAGCTTTTTAAGACTTTTTCTTGGTTTGACACTTTGAGAAGGAGAAGGAGAAGTTGTGTTATTTTCAGTGCATC